AAAATCGATAAATTTGAAGGTGGGTATGACTTTTGACAACAACCAAGGCAAAGTTACACGCGAACAAATTTTTTACTGGATGAGCTGATGTTCTTTGCACTTAATGCAGAACATAACTCATGTTATGAGGTTTATGTAGAGTGCTTGAGAGTTTTCGTGCGACATTGGCCACACACACACACACACACACACACACACAAAAAAATGAAAAATCGGGTTTTTTGTACTACTTCAAATAAAAACTTGAAAAACTTCCTCACTTTTATCCGGCTTTCTTCAAACATGTCGCAAAAGATTTTTCATCATGCAAGAAATAAAATAGTGCGGTTTCAGACCTTCTCGCTTCCTCGCGTATAACGAAAAACCCACGGAAAACTGTGCAAAAACCCTGTTTTTCGGCCATCATTCCCTGGTGTTTCATCCGATGCTTTCCAAATTTACCATGTAAATTACATATGACATACAAATTGCCTTGCGTGAATCTTTAGTTTAGATTATTTCAGTTAAGTGGACGAAATCTGCGACAAACTAGTTCCAAAATCAGCTTTTGTCATTCAGCCAATAATTTCTTCATATGATTCCATCGTAAATTGACAATCGAACAACGTTTGATGTAGAGATTATGCTAGAAAAATTAGTGAAGCGTTTAAAGGAAAATTCCCGAATAACCTCTTATTAAGCCCAGCTTTAAAGTAAACGTGTGAAATAGGAAGGGGCGTTCATGGGTTTGCACTTAAATCAACCTCTAACGCTTCGTCCATGTTTCTGCTTGATTATTAGGTTTGTGAACAATGCCATACTATTTGAAAATTATTACGGCCATAGGAAATTTACTAAATATTTAAAACATTGAAACAATTCAACTCCCAGAAACGACGACACAAGAAGATTTTATCGATGGAATTTCTTTATTAAGAACAATCAAGCATTTTCGAAGGACATACCGTAAAAACGATGAGAGGTGAGTAGTTAAGTATACTAACGGATGATGCATGCAAGCAGGGACGCAGACAGACATTTCTAGACAGGGGTGTAATATACAGGGGGTGCGGTTATACAATTACAGCCATGTACACCTGGGCAAAGACGGGTACCTCAGCTAGTTTTCTATAATATTCAAATCAGGAGTTTGGCTTGGTCAATTTTTAAAATGTATAAAACCCCTTTAACTAATACAGCTCACACCTTCCTAGTGAAAAATGTATCATTTTTTCTGTATCGAGTATACATTGATATTGGTTCAAATTCACATTTCCTTTGGATATGAAGCCTATGAGACGAAGTGGAAAATTTTATTAGACCCGTTTCGCCGGAGAGACGTATGGTCTCTTCGGCTACCTCAGTTTGAAATGATAGAAAGATAAAACTGTGTATGGGGAAATGCTATCGGTTCTCTGAGGATAAGCGGGTATCATAAATCAGATTAATTATCACGTCCTAATGCCCAGTCTTTGAGACTGTCTTTCCGCCTGTGCGTTTGCTTTTTTTAAATCTATATGAGTATTAGAACCGTTTGTATTGCAAGATTTTAAATCAGGATTGTTTTGTTAAACAAACACACACACACGCAAACACACACACACACACGCAAACACACACACACCCACACCCACACACACACACACACACACACACACACACACATATATATATATATATATACAAATGAGAGAAAGAACAGATGGAGTAAAAAGCCACTGTTCATAGTATTTACTTTCAAAAAAAGTGCTTTTCTCTTATAATGAAAATAATAATAATACACACACACACACACACACACACACACACATATATATATATATATATATATATATATATACGTGTGTGTGTGTGTGTCCAAATGAGAGAAAGAACAGATGAAGTAAAAATCCACTGTTCGTAGCATTTACTTTCAAATGGGATTTTTATTATAATCACTTATAAAAAACAATATATATGTGTGTGTGTGTATATATATATATATATATATATATATATATATATATATATATATATATATATATATATATACAAATCAGAACAGATGGAGTAAAAATCCACTATTCGTAACATTTAGTTTCAAAAAAGTAATTTTTTTATTATAATTTCTTATCATATAAATTATATATATATGTGTGTGTGTGTTTGTGTGTGTGTGTGTGTGTGTGTTTGTGTGTGTATTCAAATGAGAGAAAGAATAGATGGAATAAAAATCCACTGTTCATATCATTTACTTTCAAAAATTTCTCAAAACAAAGTAGAGCAATATATTATTATTGTATTTTTATTATAAGAGTTTGTAATAAAATCATTTTGAAACCGCTATACAAAATCTTTCATGTTTCAATACCATGATTGTACTTCTTCAGGCTATGGTAATTAACTGGTGATTAAATGATTTTTAAGGAAATTTAAAAACAAAGTGTTACCTCTTTTCCGAAAATTAAAGTGATGGGGACATAAGGGCAGAATTAAAAATTGACTTCTGGGTATGTCTTGATTTAACCAATTAAATGTCAAATCTATGCTAAATAGAAAAGTATGGTCAGAGGTGGAGGTGGGTGAGTTATTTCCTTATGTCATGATAAACCGGGACATAGACATGTCATCGTTGACGATTGTGGAAAGTATGCCAGCGACAAATGTATAGTGATTGTAGGCAAATATGACATTGAAATTTTTAAAAGGTCGTTGAATGGAGGGTTGGGTTAATCAGACGTGAAATTAAGAGAAACATTTCAAAAATTATTTTTATATTCAGGAACCTTCTTAAATGTGACTGTAGACAAAATTAAAAAAACGTGGAACATTTATATACGATATTAATAATGCTAACTGGACGGCAATACATAGCAGTATTTAAGTTGAATAAACAGAATAAGTTAATTACCCGTTAAGGGTGGACAATTATTTACCAATAAACTATGGTTATACGAAATGGTAATATGTAATTAAAAAAATAACTATATTGTAATGTAAAAGATAAAATGTGTCGGCAATATGAAGTTAATTCACTGCTTTGGTTTAACAGAGATTTTTTTTTTTTGCTAGTCAATTTTTTATGCAAAAATAAGAATGATGGTTCATTTAATGATTTACAAGTTCTATTTTTTATATTTTCCATTTTACCGTAGGGAATTTATTAAATTCTTTTACGTTGCAAAAATATTTAGAAAGGGACGTTCTATTGCTGTACGCGTTATTCAAGAAAGATAATACATGTTGGTACTATCTAGTTTTAGAGGAATTCTTGATATAAATATATAAGATATGGCTGCTTGACCCTCATGTGTGAAAAACGACAGGGAGTCTAGTAAATATATATATATATATATATATATATATATATATATATATATATTATAAAAGGCTGAAACACTAATATTCCATGGTTATAATTTATTACATTGGAATCAATATATATATATATATATATATATATATATATATGTTACATGAATCATTCATACAAAAAACAGATTAGTGAAGTTAATGATATAAATGGCGAGAATACATCTTTACAAACAAATTTATTTAAATTACATTAACCCACGAATCTCTTGATGAATGTTATGATCCCTGTTTTTAATAAATTCAACATGTATAAGGTCTTTTTTGCAAGTACTTTCAACTGTTCATACAGATATCATCAGGCATGGAAACTGGTAATATATATATATATATATATATATATATATATATATGGTTATAATTTATTACATTGGTATCGTAATATATATATATATATATATATATAGAAAGGCAAATTTTCTTCATTGAGACGACAGATAAGTTACTACGATTAAGCTTTTTATCTAATTTTTCTTGTGTTCGAACAAGTGTTTTCTTTTTTGGACATAGAGTATGTAGGAACATTCAAATGGCCCTTAATTACTGAATTCATAAATAATTACATCGGTCACACAACTACATGCCTATCAAGACACCTTACGTTGCACCTATCCGATCACAGTTCTATTAGAATCCATTTAAACACACACAGACTTACAATAGAAAGTACAAACATAATAACCTCATCAACATGTTAAAAAAAAATAAAAAAATAACGGAAGCCTTAATAATAAAAAAAGGAAAAAAGCCAACACACAATAATATTAACTACGAACGCGGCCACAATATTCTGACTGTGTTCGGAAAATAAAACATTTCTATAACCTTAAAACACATACACACACCCCATTCAACTAGTTAAAAATCAAAAAATAAAATCATCCTTGATAATCGCTAAAATTATAGCCGAAAGCGCTCGGAACTATAGAACACTTGAACATACAATACTTCTATACAGTGTGTCCAAAAAAGAAGACACTTGTTCGAACACAAGAAAAATTAAATACAAAGCTTATTCGTAGTACCTTATCTGTCGTCTTTAATGAAACATATATATATATATATATATATATATACTCAAGTATAGGATTGGTGTATATGTATAATAAATTCCAATAACAAACAAATACTATTCTGAAAAGAGTGCTCAATGCAGAGTGGAGCAAATATAATTATTTATTCGAAAATTATAACATAAATATGTTAAAAAATCACTACAAAAATAGCTATTTTGTTTCAACACTTCTGGTGTCTTATCAAGTGATGATGTAACAGTGTTTCCCCTAGCGAGGGGGGTTGATTGAGTTGAACCATTTAAAACCTTTCATTATACATTCAACACCATCACTTTTTTCTTCCCTCTATCCTTTCTACAATTTCTCTTGTCTCTCCTCTCCTTAATCTCTATCTACCTTTTATTTCTCATTTCCTCCGCATTCCTCTCATTCCCTGTGTTACTGCAATTCCCCCTCTTTTTCGTTGCTATCTTTCTACATTTTTCACCTTTACTTTATCCTCAAAATTTTCCTTCTCCTCCTTCTCCTCCTTCTCCAGTGTTTTTCTTTACTTATACGTTATCTTTGTCACTTTCTATATTTCTTTCGCATATTTCTTTCTCTACGATCTTGTCCTCCTCCACCCCTTGTCTGTCCACTTCTTGTTTTCTCTAGCTCTTGACCTCCTCCACAACTTGTCCTACTCCACTCCTTGTCATCCTCCACCTCTTGATCTTCTCCAACCCTTCTCCTTCTCCATCTCTTATTCTCCTCCGCCATTTGTCCTCCTCCACTCCTTGTCCTTCGCCACAACTTGTCCTCCTCCACCTCTTGACCTTCTCCAACCCTAGACCCCTCCACCTATTGACTACTTCACCCCTTGTCCTTCTCCACCCCTTGTCCTTCTCCACCCCTTGTTCGCCGCCACCCCTTGTCTTTTTCTACCCCTTATCCTCCTCCATCCCTTGCCTCCACCCCTTGTTCTCCTTTATCTCTTGATCTCCTCCACCGCTTTTTCTCCTCACTCCTTGTACTCCTCCACAATTTGTGACCTCTACACTTTGTTCCTCCACCTCTTGATCTTCACCCCTTGTTCTCCTCCAACTCTTGACTTTCTCCACGCCTTAATTTCCTCCACCCCTTGTTCTTCTCCACCCCATGTCCCTCTCCACCACTTATCAGACTCCACCCCTTATCCTCCTTCACCTCTTGATTTTCTTCAACCCTTGTCCTTCTCCACCCCTTGACGTTCTCCGCCCCTTGTCCTCCTCCACCTCTTGATCTTCTCTACCCCTTGTCCTCCTCCACGCCCTGCTTTTCTCCAACCCTTGTCCTCCACCTCTTGTCTTCCTCCACATCTTGATCTTCTCCACCGCTTGTCCTCCTCCACCACTTGCCTTTCTCTAACCCTTTTCCCCCTCCACCTCTTTACCTTCTCTACCCCTTGTCCTCCTCCACCCCTTGTCGTTCTCCGCCCCTTGTCCTCCTCCACCTCTCGACCTTCTCCACTCCTTGTCTTCCTCCACGCCTTGCCTTTAAGGCATTGTCCTTCTCCACCTCTTCTCCTCCTCCGCCTCTTGACGTTCTCCACCCCTTGTCCTCCTGAACACCTTGCCTTTAAGGCCTTGTCCTTCTCCACCTCTTGACCTTCTCCACCCCTTGCCCTCCTCCACGCCTTGCCTTTAAGGCCTTGTCCTTCTCCACCTCTTGTCCTCCTCCACCTCTTGACCTTCTCCACCCCTTGTCCTCCTCCACGCCTTGCCTTGTCTTTGTCCTTCTCCACCTCTTGTCCCCCTCCAACTCTTGACCTTCGCCATCCCTTGTCTTCCTCCACCCATGTCTTTTTCCCATAATTATTTTCTCGTTTTCTCCGCCTTCCACCTTTTTTTTTCTCTCATGCATTTTCTCCTTCCCTTGTGCATCTTCTACCATTTCATGTGCAACCTATGGTTTCTCACCAACGAAACATGCAACTTCTGAATTTATTTATTGTCCACTTTTCGATTGGCGTTTACGTTTTCATATTTCAACCACAATATAATTAAGTTACGCTTTTCAAATCAGGTAAATTCCAAGTATTTCCCAGGGGATTCTGTCCACATAAAAAGTGGCAATTTCCTGCAAAATGCACATTTTCGTTCTTTCTCTATTTTTGCTAGAATTCCTTTGGCAATGCCTGAAGAACTTTATTGCTATTACAACCGACATGACCCTTTGTAGCTGCTTCACATCATGTCACAGAAGACGATATTTCGTTGCATATGTTTATCTTTGCGTTGCCAGGAAATATCAGCCAAATTTATATATATATATATATATATATATATATATATATATATATATTTTTTGTCTGTCTGTTAATATTTCTCTCACTCATAAACACGCACACACACGCTCTCTCTTTATCTCTCTCTCTTTCTATATATATATATATATATATATATATACACACACACACATATATATATATATGTGTGTGTGTGTGTGTTTATGTCAGTGTGTCCATATTTATTTATTTGTTTGTCTCTTTATGTTTCTCTCCGTCTCCCTATCGCTTTCCCTGTCGTTGGCTATTCATTAATCTCTCACTCTCTCTTTTAGTCTATAGCTCTATTCTTACCTTTCTCTGTCTCTCTCTCTCTCTCTATCTAATCTGTTCATATCTATCTATCTATCTATCTATCTATCTATCTATCTATCTATCTAATCTGTTCATTATCTATCTATATATCTATCTATCTATCTATCTATCGAGCTAGCTAGCTAGCTAGCTAGCTAGATGTAGGTAGGTATGTGGATAAATAGATAGATACGACATACTTAACTATATACATACCTGTCCGTCTATCTACGAGCAACATTTGAAGGAGTGGGGAAGAGGTAGATGTGAAAAATGAGACAGACAGATAGATTGATTGATTGATAGATAATGAACACACTCAGATAGATAAATAGATAGATAATGAAAAGACATAGATAGAGATAATGAAGATAGATAGATAGATAGATAGATAGATAGATAGATAGATATATGTCGGTTGTTTAACGGTATATCAACTTCTTATGGGTCAATTAATGCTAGAATTTAATTTTCTTGTGAGTTGGTAATATTTTTAACTATTAAAATCTATTACTGGAAATATTTATATTAAAATGTATTTTTATATTTTCATAGTGTTTTAACGCCAGTTAGGGGTTTCCTTATTTAATCTGAGCTAGGACCCTAACAAGTCCTACCACCCCACGTTAGAGTAGACATGGGAACAGCAGCAATTAAGAGTTGGTACCACGCTCCTGAAAACCTCCCCAAAAGAGACCTTGTTGACGGATGTAGTTTATCGTCACATCCAGGACGAAAGCTATCTAGCTAGTTAGATGAGGTTATAATCATACTGGGATAGATAGATAGATAGATAGATAGATAGATAGATATAGATAGATAGTGTTATAAACAGACAGCGATAGATAGATAGATAATAAAGAATCTGAATAGATAAAATGGAAAAGAATAAAAAGGAAATAAACGAAGCTTATATATATATATATATATATATATAGAGAGAGAGAGAGAGAGAGAGAGAGAGAGAGAGAGTGAGAGAGAGATATGAACAGAAGGCGATAGATAGATAGATAGATAGATGGTGTTATAAACAGACTTGGATACATAGATGGACAGCTATGAAAATAATATAAAGTATTCTCGCTTGTTTTTAGAAGTGTATCACCCGAGGATTTTTCAACACTAACTTGTCGAAAGGTTTGTATGGAATAATTAAGGCATCTTATCTGCAGGAAAAGATTGTTTATATTGCAGATAAAAGATATAATCGATAGATATTTACGCCAATCAATCTGCTGAGAAACCATGTCTTGGAGATATTTTAAACTGAATTTAAAACAATAGGATTTAAATTCACAATTTTTTTATGTTACTTCAAACTCAGTATAAATTTAAAAAAATAACTTTTAAAATCACTAATTTTCTTAAATTATTTTAAATTTAGAATTTTTAACTGTTCCCTCATCATCCGGACACAAATTCCAATGATGGATGTTCAAGCATCAGAGGAAGGGCAAATTTTCAATTCCGTGATCTTCGCGACTCCAAAAAGCCAAAATAGGTCCATGTAAAGTAAGTTTGGCGTAACTTAGAGAGTTTTTAGAAACACAGACGCACAGGCACAATTTGCTGTTTATTTATTTAGAAATATAGTTGGGTCAATTTATTTAGGGTTTTAGATAAGTTATATACAGGACTTGGAATTTAAGAGATTATAGGAGATTGGTGAGATTGGCTTATGGATTTTAACGTTTCCATATAAATCGGCGAGATGCTACTCACCGTTAATTTTGTTGAGCCTCATTAATCTTATTTCGACGTTATTAATTGTAATTAGTTTGTTTATTTTTATCTTAAGATGCTTAGTAGTACTTTTATTTAATTTCTTAAATTTCTCTGCGTTAGGATGGAAGCAAGTTTGTTTTTTTTTTTTTTTTTGTTATTCGTAGTTCTATTTAAAATAATAAAAATATTAGTTGCCCTGTCGGCTGGGGCTTAAGAATACGTCGACTGCAGAGGGGTAAAACAACCACCCCCATCCCACCCCCAATGAGGCGACCTGCGTATGACGATAAACCACCTCTTAATTGATGGTGTTCCCAGGTCCTCCCTGGCATGGGGTGGTTGCTCTTTCGGGGTTCCAGCTATGGGCAAATAGTTAACCACTAAACTGGTGTCAAAACACTATGAGACTGTAAAAATAGGTTTTAATAGCAGCAATACATTTTTTGAAAAAAATATTACCAACAATACATTTTTGGAAAAAAATATATTGCCAGCAATAAAAAAAAAACAAAAACTGGTTGGCATTAAATGTTCCATTGATGTTGATATGCAGTAAAACAAAATGAACAATAAAATTTTGAATTTTTGGTCGACCCTACGTGTTCGGATACCCTACATTAAATTCAGACTTTTGCCACATCTGACCGCGTGGGGAGGTTGGTGGATATCCTGCACTTAGAGATTCATTGTGGAATTCACTTGATTCACTTCTAGCCGTTGAGTACTTCTCTGCGCTGCTGGGGAATCTTATATACTGTTGAGGGGTTCTCCCCTTTTTTACACAAATGGACTCACCCAGGGTATAAATATATTCCTGCTAGTAAATACCCGGGAGAAGAAAGAGAACAAGCGACGAACGAGCACAAACGTAACGAGCAAGAGTCACAGTGAGCATGCGCGTAGACTCAGTAAGAAGTCATACAGTGATACGTCGATACCAACGACTGTATGTATATTTTGCTACTAACCCGCATTCTTGGAACTACTAACCTGCATTACCAGTTTTATTATTACATTAATATATTTATTTTCCTATATTCCTTCTTGGCGTTTGTTATCTATTGGTACCGGATTTCATCCCGGAATCCACAACATATGCGTTGTTCTTGTCCTAAGTATTATCGTTTCTTATCAGTCTTCTTGTGATTATTCTATTCAGTAACATTCCCAAGGTTGTAACAGAGCTTAATGTAACAATTAGACAATTTCGTTGTTACATCATTTGGACAATTTTGTTGTTACACCCGGCAAATTTGTCGTAATACTTTTGTTCATTTTTGTTGAGGATGTGCTGGCCTACTCTCGGTTACAACAGAAATATAATTATATCTATGCGCATATGTTATGTTGAAGAGATATAAAGTGTATGGTAGACATACACAGAAGACAGTCGAGAACTTGACTACTGATCATGTCTCGTAGAACAACGCAATAAAACAGAATTAAATAAAGCATATAAAGAAATTAAAGCAAACAATCATATCATAATTAGGAAGGGTTTGGTTCACGTGACTAATGGCGGCTCTGTAATATTGTGTTGAATAAGTGTAAATCTTTTATTCCTCCTATTTTCACTCAATTTGATGTCTTAACATCTTCTGCTGATAAAGCAGAATTTTTTTGCTCGTAAATTCTCTTCCAATTCTAATCTTGACTCATCTGGATTATCATTTTAGAAATAGAAGATAATTTTCGGGCAAATAATTCTGCTTTATCGACAGAAGATGACAGCAGTTAATATTGATGATGAGTGGGGTAATTCAAGACTTATTTAACATACTCTTAAAGTGCTTCCAGTAGTAACGGAAACCAAACCTGCGAACAACGACTTAGTGTATTTGAAGACAAGTTTGCAATTAATAAAATCGGGCTCAAATAAGTGTCTGTTGTGATCAGAGCTATCACGTTTGCATAGACGGGAAAAATATTTCTGTAGTTTATAGCGGTTTTGAACGAAAGATAAGCTTGTGGTTTCATCTTGTATTTACGAGAAAGCACAAAAGCCTCAATACGGACTTTCACTCAAGAAGAATTTCAAATCGCGTTTTTCAGTGGGAATAGTTTCGATAGGTGATATGGGTCCTCACCGTTTTCATATAAGTGGACTCGACCAGAATGTTACTTGGACTGCTGCCGTTAAATATCCAGAGTCAGAACAGAACGGATATAGATAGTGATTGAGTTGGAGGTAGAGTAATAGTATGAGGTAACGTCTTGCAGAAGTCAGTTACAAGCACGTAGACTCTAAGGAAGTCCTACTTCGAGACTGTATATATCTATCTGTATTTGCTACTAACCGTGTTCCTGGATTTACTAATAGTATTACCATTTGTATGATTGTGTAAATACATTTTATTTCTTATACTTAATTCTTGTGTTTGTTTTTCATTGGAGACCGAATTCTCTCGGAATTCACAACGATAGGCAATAGGAAAAATGTGCCAGGCAAAGAGAGATGGAAACGGCCCTTTTCTTCATGTTTGAAAAACGGTCACTAGTGAAAAATAGATTTATAAAAACCGAGACTTAAAAATTGACATTAAAAATGTAAATATCTGAGTCACCACTTGTCCTAGGCAAACGAGAGAATGAGGCACCGAATAGACTCTGACAAGTTTAGCTCGTACGACTTCGGGCGGCTCTATAATAATATCTTAAATAAAAGTAAATCTTCTATCCTCCCTCTCTTCACAAATTTTGATGTGTTTACATCTGCTGGTAGAGCAGAATATTTTGCTCGTAATTTTTCTTCAAATTCTAATCTTGACTCATCTGGATTATCGTTTGTCTGGAACATCTAGTTACTTAGTTATTTAAATGTCAAAGCATGTGGAATCGACGGTATCCCTGCAATTGTCATGAAGGAAATGTTTCCCCGTGAACTGGTCCCTGTCATCCAACAAGCTTCACAATATATGTTTTGTTGTTTCTGGCATACCAGCTTGTTGAAAATCCTCTTCTGTAGTTCAAGTTTTTGAGAGCTCTGGTGAATCTTTCGAACAATCGAACTCTTAGTATTACACCTCTGTTTGGCTAAGTGCTTGTCAACCCTGAATTGGTTCACAAGATCAGCTTGCAGGGTCTTCTTTCAGAAAACAATTTGACTTTCATTTCACTTCTTCTTCCATCGATGTGTTGGCCGTTATTGCCGAAAAAAAGGTTTTCATGTCTTAGATATTTCGAAGATATTTTTTTAGATATTTTGTAAAAAGTTTGATTTTCTTAATTGCAATAAATGTAATAAAAGACGCAGAAGACAGCGCATTGTTTTGCATGAAAAATATAATAACAGAGACACATTTGTAGTGTTAAAACATAACTGTAATTGTGTGGCGATTTTAACATGTTTTTGTTTTAATATACTAAAATAAAGTATATATATATATATATACATTATATATATATATATATATAATTATTTTTTACAATATGATTCCATCGCTACATAACAGTTCCCTAATACATGAGAACTTTTATGTCGTGATGGAATCATATTTTATGTTTATACATTCTTTATATATATATATATATATATATATATATATATATATATATTTATTTAAAAAAATTACAACATAAATATATTATAAAATCATCCAAAAATAATCATTTTGTTTCAACACCCCGGTGTCTTATCAAGTGATCAGCAAGATCACGTGATAGGGCACCGGGGGTGTTGAAACAAAATGGTTATTTTTGTAGTGATTTTATAACATATTTATGTTGTAATTTTTTTAAAAAATAATTATATCTTCCCTACTTTGTATTGAGCACTCTTTTAAGAATAGTAATTGTTGGTTATTGGAATTCATTCCGTATACACCACTTATATACTTATATATATATATATATATATATATATATATATATATATTGATAATATTAGTGGTTAATATACACATACATATATGTACATATATCTAAAACACACAAATATATATACAAACGTACATACACACACACACACACACACACACACATATATATATATATATATATATATGTGTGTGTGTGTGTGTGTATAAAAATTTCCAAGAGGATAGAATCCAGGTAGAACTCAATGTCCAGGACAGAGTAAGGATTTAATAAAAAGGCTTAAACACTAATATTCCATGGTCATAATTTATTACATTGGAATCGTAAATACGATCCAATTCATCAGACCTGCAAATTCAAAAAGCTTTTAACATCATAATAATATTAATAATATTAACATCATAATAATATTAATAATATAATTTTAAATTTGAAGTGCACACGAACTTTATGGACACCCCATATATATATATATATATATATATATATATATATATATATATAT